CACGGAGTTTTCGTCCGTGGCATCCCAACAATTACTCCATTTACACACCGAAGAAGGCAATGGCAAACCACTTCTGGATCATCTGCCAAGAACGTATATGAACAGGTCCCAGTCCGAGAAGAGAAAAGGATGGAAGGATCCTGTTCATATGGACCTGTCGTCACACAGAACACTAATAAAAAAAAAGTAGGGGACTAAAAAACTGGCATACAGCACAGATTAGCACAGCAGTAAAGAGTGTTCAGAAATTTAGTCAGTTAAAATAAGCATTGAAATCAATAAACAATAAAAATATGCCTGCTGGGTTTAGTGTACCAGAACGGTAACCATTCTGACCAACTGTTACCAATCAGTCATACACCAAATTCAGTGATATTTATAACCAATCTGTCACTTCAGGTGTAAAAACAATTCATGACAGAATATATCAACGAGACTGTAGGTGCAATGTTAGTTAGGACTGGACATATTCTTCTGTGATAAATTATTTGTTGTAATGTTGTTCAATGCAAAGATTATAGTTTGTACAGTTCTCCAATGTTTTTACACATTGCGTGGTGAGTGTTACTTACTTCAGCCCACGTACTTAGCGCCTCTGTAGTTGAGGCATTAGACCGTGATGGATCAGGCAACGCTAGCACCGAGTAACCGGGTCCGACTCGTACAGTCTTAGTGGATGACTTCTCGGCCCGATCAACCAGAAACGTGCGACTGCTTTCTTCAGATTCAAAAAGTCCACTGTAGTGAGAACTATCATCAGGCCGAACATCGTTAATATCTTCTTGAGTTGGACTGCGTGGGTCCAAAAGTATTCCGTGACCTCTGGATTTAGTACGAGTGTCATATCTGTCATAATTCCACAGACCAGTAAACTCAGGACTGGTAGAATGAAAGCTGTCAGGGTCCTGAACGGGGTGAGAGTGCCGTGCCAACTGACGCGCCTGCCTCTGAAACTGAGTCTGATATTCTCGTTCTTTCGACTGCTTATACTCTGACTGCTGTTCTTTCAAATCAATCTGAGCTTTCAGCATTCTGGCATAACTCGTTTCTTTTGATTTATCTATCTCTGTTATAGGAGAAAGTCCCTGTTTCTCCTCGCTAACAGACGTATCTTTGGTAGACAGATTTTCTACACTAGTCATAGCAGCCATCTTCTTGCTTTGGTCCTTATTTCCTTGGAGCTGGACTGCCACTGGTACTTCAGAACAAGACGGAGTCTTAGATTCATTTCCCTCAGGCGAATTGCGTGGTTTTTGCTTAGGCGCATGCTCCTGGTGCTTTGAAACAATTTTAGTGGGAACATCTGCGCACAACTCATCTTCATGATAGATCTGAAATATGAAAGGTGACAATTCTAGTCTGTACATGTAATGTAGGATCTTATTAAATGGTATGCAAAATTACGAAGATAATTTGGACAATGGAAGGAGGAAACAAATACAAAATCCGCCATAATTTACATATAACCTACTGAATATTTAAACAGCATTTTGTTCCTATTGCAAATGCTCAAACATTCAAAATGCATGGTAAATATATTTCTTTACATAGGCATATATTACTGTAGTTGATATTAATATAATGAAGTACCCAAGAATGGGTGGGTAAGACTGGCTTGTTGGAGAGAAATGTAAATATTTCCATATTTTTGTAACCTTCAGAGGGAGATCAGTAAGCAAACCCATGCTTTAAGGTTATGATTAAGTAACAAAGGAATCCATTTTAGACATGTAAGATCCTGTTCTTGAGAATGTACAAAGTTTTTAATTACAGCATAATGTATAGTAGTTGCCAGACATATAGAGAGCTGTAATCCCTACTTCCCAGGCTGCAATGGACGGTCATGTAAAGATTTGGAACAGCCTGGTGTTGCAGAAGCTGTCTCAAAAACACTGACTGTTGTGAATGGACTAGTCTAATTACTTCTCGATCCTTACTTTAAATATAAGTTATATTTTCTTTGGTGCATTACACCCTCCATTATTAGTGCTACTCTTGAAGTTAAATCTTGGTATCATGCATTAATTAGAAGCACAGAGGTAATGAAAGAGATTATATTTTCTTGGAACGTACGTTGATGTGCATGCAGGATGTTCCTGCACCGACAGCTCACAACATGTCTGACAACTACTATAACGGGGCGATACAGTTGCATTCAGCCAAATGTAAATTTGTGTTGTGAGGAACATTTTCCTTTCTGGTGACCTGCAGTAGTTCTTCTATATAAATCGTTACTCTGCTCAAACCAGAACAACTTAGACATTCTTTTTACCTAAAATTTTCTTGGATCATACTAGCAAGTGACAAACACCTAAAAATCATGAAATAAATATTTTACAAACTTCTATTTTGGTGACATAAAAACAAAATAATTAATATGGAATAGACAAAAATGAAAACTACAGAAACAGATGGCTCAAGGAAGTGCTTGAGTGGACTCCATCAGGAAGAAAGCAGTGAAGAAGATCAAGTCGTATGGAGAGAATCCGGGATGCACAGACAAAGAGGTCTGGAAGGAAAGTGAATGGACAGAGAAGAATAGCACTTCGGAATCTTCAGATATAAATGACACCATAAATTTGTATGCACAACATTTTACAACCCCCTCCCCTTTTTTCCAACTTTCCTTACCTTTAAAGCAGGCAGCTGGGATGCGCCTGATCCTGACAGTTTCCGCATTGCATCCAAGCACTTTGACAATTCTAGGATCTGAGAGACCACTTTCTGAATGAGCCTCTCACTTCCAAACTCACCTACGCAAGGCAAACGTCATTAATTTTACAAGCTCTTTCTTATGGTCCTGAAAAACAGACTCAAGGAAGAACTTAAATCACAAGAAAATAAAAAAAAAGTATTGGAGTCTGTCTAATGTAGGCAGCGACATGCACCTTTAGTCAGCAATCTTATGAAGAAACGTCCCGTGTTCAATGGGATCACCTGCATGTTACTTACTAGTTCTTTCTTGCATGCAGAAAGTACAAAAGTAAATAAATAAATAAATAAATAAATAATGGCTTTTAATGCACATGACAATATCAGAATGAGTCTGTGCTCCATTTCAAGTCAGAAAAACTACAATTAAAAGAACTCACGACATATTTTGGCCTTGCAGTTCACCAGGGGAAAAAAAAAAAAAATGTTCTAAGAAGGAAACATGCACTGAACAGTAAAATTCAAGTTGTTAGTCCATAAAAGTTTGTTTCCTGAGATTTTATCGCATTTAATATGGTCCAATATGAAAAAAGAACCATGTTTTTTTTAACACAGAACAAAGTGTATGTATCGGCATGGATATATTTTAAATCAACATTCAAGTAAATATGGAAGTTCAGTTTCCTTCGCATCTTTAGAAATAACCCGTTTCAATTCTGGAATTTCAATTTGACGCTTATCTTATAATAAAATTACTCGTGATCTCTGACCAGTACCTGGGAAGTGTTTCTGTACGACGCAGGACGCAACGTGAAATACATTGCTATTCAGGCTTGGGTCAGACTCGTACTGAAACCACGCTATGACCTCAGTAGCCTCACGCCCTTTCCACGCCATCATTACAGGAATCTGGACGCACAATACAAAAACAATCTTACAACTGTTTGGTGTATTACAACAAAATGAGATGACAGATCCATGTCTCAGTACATTCAGCATCATATAGAGACCGTTCAACTCATCACTTGAGACCGAATGCATTCTGTTTCCACTCACCAAGTCTGGATGGTTGTCATACTCCTTTCCATTCCACCAGTGCTTATAGCCACACTGACAGTGCGATGAAACCGCCCGTGTCGGAGTGACGTCGCCATTTTCATATGCGACAGAGCCATCAGAAAATACCAACCGCAGCTTCATGCTGCATGAAAAAAAATAAGAACATGAGAGGGGCAAGATGTTACTAGCCGCATAACTTACGTACTTATGTGAGAATTTGTAACGAAACAGAAATTATTCTGGGCATGCAGAAATAAGATTCTGCATATGTTAACAAAAGCGGAATTGTTATTCTTGCCACAAAAACAAGCAAACAAACAAAATGAAAATTATAATCAGGATTTGAGGTTCACCACATAATATAATCTTTCTACCTGCCACAAAATTGTTCAATTTAACTTACTCTAGACAGAAGGCGCACTTTTCAACACCAGGGTGTTTATTCAGAATCAAAACATCCTTCTTCGCATCATACGAGCAGGTTACACCCTAAACAAATCAAAGGAATTAGTAAAATGATCTTCTTCTGTTAATTCTCAAGGTCTTGACTAGTTTGGTTCATTAGTGGGTTTCACTTATTGCACAGAAAACTTGCTAACATTTACGACTGCAGCACACAGACATCTGTAAGTATTAAACATGATATTTATACAGTGAAACCTCTATCCATCGTTCCCCGAACTATCGTTTTCCCGGATGCATCGTCCGTTTTGTTCGGTCCCGAATACATCCCATATAAAATAATGTTACATTTTCCCGCTTCTATCGTTACTCGAACTATTGTTTTATCGCATCGATCATTCAAAAATATTCCCGCAATGATCGTTTCTGAGAAATTATAACGAAATTTACGCGATGTTTTTAGAATTTAAAATGTTGGGTTTTGAGATAAATTAATACCGAAAGACGCACAATGTTTTTGGAATACAAAGTAGCGGTAACCTGTTATGTCGCCCAACCAGCACAGATTCTTTTGGAATGAGGGGTCAGCGGTGCAGGGGTGATAGTTGGAGTGAATGATGGTGCTCTTTGTCAGAAATTTTATGAGTTTAATTAGGGTGCACTCATATTTCGTTCCAGCGATGCCAGATGGCATGTGCAGTGTGAATTTCTTTACAAATGCTTTTATTATAAGTACAAAGGAAAGGCTGGCGACACTTTTCATTCTTCTGGTTCATCTCGTTTCCAGTGGTTCAGTGTCTTCTACAGCTACGTTTCGTCGTGTTCGGCAGTAATAGTACTTCCATTCTTCCTGTTATTGTTCGTGAAGGGGGTGGGAGTGGTGAGGAAGAGGAAGACGACAAATGCGAGCCCGAAGCTGTGCCGAGTTTTGCCGAAGAACGTGCTGGCAAAAGTGAAGTCGTTCTTTTAGGCGAGTAATATCAGTGAACGTGACGAGGAAACATTTTGAACGTGGAAAGGGCTCTGTTTGGCCTAAAACGTAAAGTTTCGACAAACCAGTTGTCCATTAAAGGCTTTTTTGGTAAAAAGAAGTAACTTTGAAAGAGAAACATTGTTTTTTTAAAATTTTTAATGCTTTCCCGCATCTATCGTTTTCCCGTATTCATCATCTTTATATCCCTCCCCCGCCGAAAACGATGCATCGAGGTTTCACTGTATTTTCACAAAATAAATAATGACAAATTCCAACTTCATTTTGCAAAGGGATTAAACTAGACAAAATTTAACACAGCGGAATACTTGCCACATGCAGCAAAATTCAAATGCCTAAATAAATTTAAATGGACTGTAGGAACAGAACAGATAGCTAAACTACCGTCTCCAAAGGACGAAAAAGACTGTGTCATACTCACGTAATTTGAGAAGCTATATACTTTCTTGTCCTCCAGCAGACCATACTGTTTCACAACAAGGTTGTAAAACAATCCATTGTTCCCAGGACGCAGCCATTCAGACGACAGAGGTGCCATACAAAGCGCATAGCAACTCAAACACTTGAAAACACGGCGTTCTCGTATGGCCTTCTGCGTATTTGATGTTACGAGCTGCGGTGAAACAGCAGCGGCAACTGGAAAATAAATTTAAAAGTCGCGAAGTTAGTGAACAAACTGAGAGCAAATAATACTCGGCAACGAACAAACGTTAACATTTCATGGAACATACTTGATTTCTTGTAATTGTATTGATACATATCACAAACTAGTGATGGGTGGACACCGAACTTCTGCAAAAATAACTCATCCATTGCATTTGCCAGCTTTCTGATGTAGCTCTGCTGTAAAACTCTGTTGCCACCTGCATGAAAGAAAGAAAGAATCCATAAAGACTTGCCAACAAAACAGCAGAATAAATGTTCGGAGCACGTACCATATTTACACTTTTAAGCTGATATTTCTTACGATCTTCTAACTAACTAACTAGATGGCTTACCGAATCCGAAGGTTCATCACCGAATTAACCAAAGCCCTCCACCGGACCCTGTCCTGGGCCAACAAAATCCAGTCTCCTTCAACTCCTATCTCCCATAGATCCCGCCTGAGATTATCCTCCCACCTACGTCTAGGTCTCCCCAGCGGTCTCTTCCCTTCAGGTTTCCCAACCAGTACCCGGTGCACACCTCTTGTCCCATCCATGCGCGCTACATGCCCCGTCCATCTCATTCTTCTCGACTTAATCACCCTGACAATATTGGGGGAGCAGTACAGATTTTTAAGCTCGTCATTGTGCAGTTTTCTCCACGCCCCATCGTCTTCCCTCTACCAATCATAAATGCGTCTTCGCTTTTCACCGGTGCGTTTCAATGGAACAGACACAGCAAGTATTGTCAGCATAGGCAAACTAAGAAATTAAAAACTACGGGTAAAAGGATGATTAGTGAATGACTGCTGTTCTTTGTTTTAGTGATGATATAAACTGAGATCAGCTTACAATCCATAAAATTACTACCAACTGCTTCAGTGTTAACTTGGTTTAACCGTGATGTTATAACCTGTATCAGCAATGTGCCACAATTTACAGTCTGGCCAGCAGCCTCTTAGTACGAGGGTTTAAATTCCCTGTTCCTTTTGTACGACAAAGAATTACCATTCCAGGAAAATTAATCAGAATATTTGTAACCAAAAAATAAACATCTAGAAATCACAGTACCATTACACATTTAGTTTAAATTCATTATGACTGGCCTTTGCCTTCTACATATTGTAATATTAACACTGGGAAAATGAGTATTACTTCAAAGCCAAAAAAATTAAGTACCACTAATCCATGATAAAGGTAAAATATTAACATAATTTCATGTCTCTTTTTTCCCAGGATTTCAGAGTTATGAACAGCACACCCTTAGCACTTCACCATTCACATATTCCCTCTGCCATCTGGTGACTGAAGCATACACCAGTCATTTCCCACTGGTGTATGAATACACAAAGCGTGCTGAAAACAGACTCCATTAATTTTTAACATTCACACATCACCATCTGATGATTATGCACCTATCTTATTTTAGACAGAGTATACACCAAGACGTTACGCTACATGTAAAAACGTTTCCCTCACCAACAACAACGCAGTCTTGGTCATCAAAATTCATATATACAGACAGCAGGCTCTGTGATACACCCCACACCTCCGGTAAAAGTCTGCGTGGAATCACAGGTAATTTCTCTGAAACATTAAGTTCAAAATACAGAACAATTTAAGTAATTCAATGCCATTTACAATTATCAGTCTAAATAAATCGATATTTGTAATGATCAGCGGCAACTGTTTCCAGCACGGCACGCAAGTTACTCAGCATCGGAGGATTTTATTTAAGTACCCTGAGGATGGAAGAGGTAGAGAATTAGTAAGGAGAGATAGAAAAAGAAAAAGCATGCTCGGGAGGAGGTCCAGAACGCCATTCCGCAACACTGGCAGCTCGAACGCTGACACAAGACCGAAGACAAACACGTAACGAGCCTTCGCATGATACACAAGATGATGCAGGCAACCTGTCATCTTGTCAGTTTATTGTAAGACATCGCTAAGACCACTACTGTTGTCAGTCATCCGACGACTCAGTTTCATCTGTGTTGACTTGTATACCAATGTATGTAACTGCGTGTACGTTACACGACAAAAACTACGTGGGAATG